TTCAAATCTGATAACCTCTCAATACCGATACAAAATCTGTCCACCATGCGTACCGGTTTTGGGAGGTTCAACAGTAAGCCATTTTTGGGAATCTGATAAAATGTTTCCTGGATGAAGATCCTTATGTACCATATTGTTTTGATGAATCTGATATAGTTGATAGAATATATCCTTAAGTAATAAATATATGTCTTTCCAGGTAGATAGACTTTCTTTGTTCCTTAAGCAGGCATTAAGATCTCCATTCTTCATATAATCTATGACCAGCATAAATTCCCTGTTTCTGGAAATTTGGTTATCCCATAACATTGAAAACCACGAGAACCTTGAAACGAAAACATAATATGATGTATTGCCTAAAAAAAAAAGAAAATTTCAATTTTTAAACCTATTTGCAAATAAGGCCGATCGAAGTTGATTCTTCGGTTAACATCCCCTGCTGAAGTCTCCCCCGATAATCGAACAACCAATCAAAACGCTGGATAACTCTCGCTAACTACTTGAATTATATCGACTAATGAAATTGGCACATTTTTATATGTTCATTCATTTTACCCCCACCCCCCCTCCAAGGGTTCTAAAGGTGATGTTAACCGAAGAATTAACTTCGAACGGCCTAAAGTACTTTATATATGCATACCTATTTGATAAATTCTTCATGGGGATTAATTGAATCCTTCAGTAATTTTAAAGCAACTTTTTTAGGTCCACTTCTTACGAAAATACTGTCATCTTCATTCCAATCAATAATCCATCCGTCAATCCAAGTCGCTGAATATATACTTCCAAATCCACCCTTTTGCTTCATAATTAACGTTATCAAAGGACTAAAAATTCACCCATTCGACAATGTTTTCTGGTGTTTTGCATTCAGATTGTGATGTTTGCAATATACTATCAATAAGCATGTTATCTGATGACCAATTTATAAAGTTGGTATGTATATGTCGGGTAACATGCGTATCAATATTTAAAATGTCTTCGAACTCCACCACACCGTGAACATCTGTTTTTTTCTTCCTCTATTATTTTTGAAAATAAATTTAGATTTAAGAGAGCATGATTTTTGTCTTCGTCAGATTCGAACACTTTATTTTGCTGAATGTATGATTCCAACTTTTGTATATCCTCGAATTCACAACCTGCTTTTAATAAATTTCGAACATGTTTCCTTATAGAGTACCTTTAAATTTATTGAAAAGAAATCATCGTGAAAAACTTATTATACCAATATTTTAAAGTGGATAAAGTAAATTATACAAACATTTTTAAAATAAAGCCTTTCCAAGCAAATATTATATAATCACTATTTATGAATACAGACTTTATATAAGAGGGTTATTACGTTTATTTATCTTGTCATTCAATAGTCAGAAAATATTTATGGAAAAGGCTTCGTTACATTTACAGTATTACATATTACGTAATCATTCGAAAATGCCCAAGTGAACAACGCATTACAGTGGCGTAACATTTTGCAGTCACGAAGACGAATTGGCCAAAAGCTGTCAAAGTAATTCAGTACATGCTTCAATGCTAGAGTATATCCTATTTACCAACTTCCAAGATGCACGCTTTCTAGTATTTTAATACAGTGTTACATAGGAATTTTCTCGACTGATAACATATTACCTTACGCAGGTTGTGAGTAGGCATAATCTAATCAAAAATGGTATTGTCTAATCGTCTAATGGTCTAATTGCCTAATGGTCTAATTGTCTAATGTCTATTCGATTTGGTTGAGAATAGACATGTCTATTTAAATAAAAATTTCATTAGACAATATGTCTATTGGTCTATTGGTCCAATCGATTTATAATTCCAGATTATATAAGAAAAATATCATAATCAACACTAATAAATT